CTACTACTACTACTACTACTACTACTACTACGACTACTGATGGGCAGCCAAAAGCGGTGATGGCTTTTGCTGATTGGGGATGGGAAGGTTTTCTTGCAGAGGCAAGCTATAATTATAGTAAGTGTAAGGAAGGCAATGGTACTAGTAGTGGAATAAACTGTTCGGTTTGGAAAGAATTTCGGAAGGATACTCCCAGTAAACCCAACTCCATTAACCATCAGGATCAACCCACAACAGAACTTGGAGAATCAAACAGCGTTGAAGCAAGGCCAGGAAGTCCAGAGCCAGCAACTGTTGTTGGTACAGTGCAGCCTTCAACAACAGATCAACACACTAACAAGCCTCCATCGAGTGATCCTGCTCAAGACGGTGCTGCGATTAATGATTCTCTCAACACAGAAAATCAAGTAACAGAAGGGAATACATCGACAAATGATAATGCTACACTTGGTGTCTCAACTCAATCTACGGATAACACCAACCAATCTCAAGCTTCAGATACGACTGCACCTAATTCAACTGCTGCCCCATCAGACTCACAAGAAACCAATTCCACTGTTCCGCCGAGCTCCGATAACACTACCACAGAAGCACCAACCACCACACCATCTCCTGTTCCCAACGCAGAGATCAACAACAACGTCGCTTCCACCGTGCAGAGGAACAAGGGTAATGCTGACAGCAGTGTCAGTCCTGTTTGGATGCGCACTGCAGCACCGCTACTAATTGTGGCTGTGGTGTTCTCTGCTACTGTGTACTGAACGGTGGGACTCACTTGAGAGCATATAATAATAATAATGGTTAAACTACCATGATCATAATTGCGTACATCCCCCATGGGTGAATGAATTAACTAATAATCTGTTTACCAGCTTTCTTTTATTAATTCGAGTTTCTTTTCTTTTACTTTTATGTGTGTGTGTTCTTTTTCTAATAATTCCATTATTTGCTTTCCCCGTTATGTGTGTTTGTAGAAAACTGGGCTGTTCTGCTCACTGACGGTATACATTTATTCTAAATATAGACATGCGTATGTGTGTGCACCATTTTCTTTTTAACTGGAATCTTTGGGATTGGGTCTTTTGTTTTATAATTCCATTACTTTTTGTTTCCGTATTGTGTGTGCAGAATGTTTTGTTCTGCTCACTGACGGTACAATTGTTTTACTGGTACACATGAATATGTGCTCCGTATTATTTTTATCATTATTATTATTTATTGATTTTTTTATTTTTTTCTTTGTTCTTTCTGTTTTATTTTTTATAGGTGGTAGGTATCGCGGGTGGAATTCTTTCTTTTTCTTCTTCGTTCGTAATCCTGTTTTTTTCTTTTTAGAATGTTCCGCTGTACACGCCCAGAACAGCACCGTAGCGGAAAAGCTCCTGCTTTTGTGTTCCGTGATCCCACGCTTAAAATGATGCGGGCGGGTAGTGGATATCAACAACTTCGGCGTATGGGAATGCCTGTGCAAGTGGGTT